TATCTTAATCTATTTTCTAATATCCTCCTAAACTCTATTTAACAAAAGTTAGGGTTAGATGAATAAACAACTTTGCATTCCCTATTTCTCTGCACATGCTAGATGTTATTAGTATTTAGATTTAGTGGATATTATGAGATAAAATCATATCAAATCACATCTCACAATATCTCAACAATATCTACGAGATCTAAATACTAATAACATCAAACATCAATCAACGGGCAGCTTTTATGTTTGCTATTTGTACATGCTATGGTTGTGTAGCTCAAAGTTGATATTTTAAATTTGCTATTATCAAAATCCAGAAATCTACAATAGTCCAAGTTTTAAATTTTTTTTGTTTAATCAAGAGGAAATTAGAACAGAAAGTTAGTTTTTGAAAGAGCTTCCATTAGGTTTTGAAAGAGCTTCCATGCTTTTTGTTTGTTCCCAAAGAAAGTAGAAAGTTAGAAAGTGTTACTTTGATAGAAATTATTGCAAACAAAGGGTGTTTAAAAGGATATTATTCATAGTTTATCGTTAAATTTGTAATTTCAGATACCAAAACAACAGTTCGGTTCAAAATTTTGTATTTTTGAATTTTGACATTTTTGGAAACACAAGGAATCCATTTGTTTCCAAGTTTTCCATTTTTCTTGGTTCGTAAGGAAATGGAATCAGAAGTTAGTTTTAGAGAGAGATTTTATGAATCCTCGTTTGCTTAACAAAACATTGATAAAGTAGGAACATGACTTATGAATCCCACTAATATTTGAGTTTGCATTTAAAATAGAATATGTTATTATTTAGTAAAAGTATTATTCTAAAGCAACTAAAAATATATCAAAATGGAAATGCTAATGTTTTTATGTGCTTGTTTTATAACATCTAAACTATGTTTTATTGAAAAATACAATTTTTTTGGAGACGCTCAGCACTGTTAGAAGTTTCGGATCTTTTGTATTTTAACTATTATTACAATTTTAATATTTTTGGATTTTGCATAATTTTTCCTGCAACATTTTGGATGTTTAACATTTCAAATTTTTCAAAGATTATTTTGAATTTTAAGATATGTTTTGATTTTTAAAATTATGATAAGATGCACACTTTCACTTTCCCTCTCTAAAGTCCCATCTTCTATTTATGAATTTTGATACTACATTTTCCGCACGTGCTACCAAAATCCACAATGCTTTCCAAAACATAAATCCTTGCAATAAAAAAAAGATTATGAGATTTAATTATGATATTTTTAGATTGGTGGGCTCAAGATCTAACAAATTTTCTAGGATTCTTTGAAAATCCTTGCAAATAAATAGGCGATTAGAAAATTAAGATGAGTGTCAACTCAACAACTAATTTTTCGTTTCCTTGATTGCCCACTCACTCCCATAGTCATAAATGTTGTGTCATTTGAGCAATCTATTTTCAATTTTTAAGAAGCCCCTCTAGCAAATCCTACCATAAAGCAAACCAAATAACGGATTTGCACTCATTTACCTGCAATAAATTTGAGGTAACCAAAAAGAAAACTCAAAAGAGGCGTCATGGTTCTTTTAGCTTAGATGGTAACTCGATCAAGACTCCTATATTGTCTAGTTCCCAAAACTACTTCTAGGGACTACATGTAACTAGCTACTTGTTTGCATTCTGATACCTTGTCAATTTCTCAAGGCATGCAGATCTTTGTTAACTAGTTTATAGCCCTTTCTTCAAATTCTTATAGCCAAGTGACATATTGCGGAAAACGGAGTGAAGCGACAAGGCGTCGCTTACGCTTTTTGGGGCTTAAGCGAGAAAAGTGCCAATGTGATTTATTTTATTTCTTTTAATTCTTAAATAGGCACAAAAACTCAAAAAGAAATCAGAAGTAAATCTTAAAAATTACAAAACGAGCAAAAATTCTACAAATGCATATATAATGTTTATAGACCCTAACCACAAAATAGATGTTTAACTATACTTTGATTCAATTACGCAATATTAACAAAATACTACACACGTTGTAATATGATAAACTAATATGTAGCGGACTATATACACCAAATAGTCAACAAGTTAATGAATTGATATACAAATTATCAAAGAAAAATATTTTGGTGGTCACTTTTAGGTTTAGAAGACGTGTTTGGACCGCTTTTCATGTCGCATCTGCTTTTGGACGGGGCTTTTTCGAGTTTAAAGCGACTAAAAGGCCCAAAACACATAATCAACTGCTTCAGTGCTGCTTTTACTATTTTCACAACACTGCTTCCATATTCATCTGTGAATATTACTTCTATTGATCATCTTCCTCTTCATGCTTAAATACTTTAAAACTATCCTCTTATGACCTATTAAGGATCCTCAAGGAGTCAAAGACTAGTTACGGCATATATTAAGAGGATATATCAGTTGGAGGCTTGAAACATCAGCATGTTCATTTCATACATGCATCTATTTACCTTTATAGCATAGGTATTTTCCACATAGCAACATAGCTATAATGTTGCTTATGCAATTTGCCCCTCTTGATGGCTCCTTTTGAAGAGGAAAAAAAATTAAATTTAGATACAAAGTCAAAAAGATAACAGCACTTCTCTTCTTGTCATGTATGCTCTGAACTCAGGTTGCAACCGTTGATATTTGGATTTTGGGTTCCATCTTCTACCATATATCTGGGCTTTTAGTGAATTATTTTCTAAAATTCAGTACCAATCATGTGCCAACTATAATATCTTTAATATCCATCAGAACTCCAGTAATAGCTCAGGCTAATTTGGTAGAACAGTAATCCATTCCAAGAGATGGTAACGACACCTCAACTCCAAATAAGATGATATAGCTGCTCTGGTGTAGAGTTTCCTAGCAGCATACCCTTGCAAACATGGAAATAACAATGTGACAATTGGCGAGCGGCAATTTCTTGATGTTTTAGCTAGAAGTTTATTTTTCTAACTGGAGCACTTTATCTCAAGAATTTCTGATGCGAAACGAAACGAAACTCACCTAAGGTCTATCAGAATCAGCGATCTAAATCGAACAAAGCACCGTTTCGCCAAAATTCATGATCTTCGGTAGGAAATTAATTAAAACGGTTAATGTGATAGATGGATTTTAATAAGATTTTGCAACAATACTCATGAACAGTTCCAATCTCAAATATTTTAATCGCAATATTAATCATCATTTTGCAAGTTCTATATATAATTATAAAATTAATCAGTCACATGTTCAGTTCTCTCAACTCACAAAATAAATTAAGCAGTGAATATATGATAATAGTTTAGAGATTTAATACGTATGCAATTAACTGATAATTATGAGATTAACAGAAATTACTGAGTTTGAGAGATTACTATCCAAAATGCTGAGAGAAATCCAAAAGCCCATTAGCTTCTACAGTGAAGCTCACAACCCAACTTATCAACAAACCTATCAATATATTCTGATCTCTGTTCTTCTTCGATCTCAGGGGAAAGAAACCGACGATTGTTTGGTGCAGCTTCGATCTGAGGAGAGGTGGACGGTGACTGCTCGAGGGCGAAGAACGATGGCGACTGTCGACAGTTGAGGACGACGGCGGCTGTTCGGGTGCAACGACAGCGAGGTTGGTGTGCTGCTGGGGTTGACGAGGGGAACAAGGACAGGGAGAGTCGGTTTGTGGAGGAGAGGAGATGGTCGGCGACGGGGTGGTGGCTGGTGGCTGCAGGAGGAGATGGATCTGGCGGTGGTTTTTTTGGGGAGCGACGGGAGAGTGATGGAGGCCTGGGCGGTGGTCGTTGAAAAGAACGAAGAAGTTAGGTTGGTCTGGAAGTTGACGTGGAGAAGAAATGAGATTGTTGGCGGTTTGGGGAGAGGAACAGGGATGCGTGGTGGGTAGCGGAGAAGAAAGCACGGAAGGAAATTGGGGTCTTTTGGGTTGTGACTGGGGATGGTTGGAGGTTGAAGGAAGTGACAGGAGTTTTGTTTTTTTTTTTTTTTTTTCTTGTTTTTCTTTTCTTTTTGGGCGGCTGAGTTTGTATGTGGAGAGAGATGAGAATTTTGGTGGCTGGGAATAAACAACGAGAAGAACAAAAATATTAGCCTAGGGTTTCACACCATTGGTTTCACACCAAGTTTTTAGCTAATACAATTTCATTTTCATTCTTCATTAATTTTCATTCTGATTACAACCATGCTTTTATAGAGCAATTACAAAATTTGAAATCTCACACAGAATCCTAGAGCAATTACAAAATTTGAAATCTCACACAGAATCCCTCAAATCTCTCACTTATTAACTACTAAATTAAACAACAATTCAAAATTTAAAATTCAAATTTCAAAAATTAAAAACTAAGCTAATATGGAAGATTTCCAATTCTTGTTCTCATCAATTTCACTGCATCTCTGTTTACCTTTAGATGTTAGTGCCTTTGGATATCATTATTATATAGCTTTATCCTTCCATAAATGGGATACATTAAGCATTTCTTGCGAATGAATAAGAAACAGAAGTAGGAGAAAATCAGGGGTACCATTTTGATAAACCCTGGACATTATCACCCTAATTGTTGCTTACAAGAGCAAGTCATAAAAAAGCTCTAAACAGAGAGACAAGAAGGCCACTAACAAAGAATAGATATGAATGATAATATGACTGGTAGATATATAATGAGAAAGGTTTCTCAATGGACAAAAAAATCATGTAGCAGAGCCCAAAAATAAAATTGACAATAATGGTTTTCAGTTCTATTGTTGTTTGCCTAAAATAAGGAAAACAGATGTCTATGGAACACTTAGTGCTAACAAGCATATTCATATTTCTATATAAACTATAGAATATTTAAATCATGCAACTGAGCCTAATATTGAGGATAATGATTTCAGTTCTATTTCTATTCATCCAAATTATGAAAACAGATGTCTATGAAACTATGGAAACAATTATTACTACCAAGCATTTACATATCTATATCAAGTATAGAGTATTGAAAATCTGCCACAATAAAAAGATTAAAAAAATTAAAGAATTTGGAGAGTAAAGAACGTACCTTCAAAAGAGGAGTGTGGCGCTTCTTGACCTGTGGTAAAAAAAACATTATAAAAACGTCAGGACATGTGCAAATTCATGTAATAATACCTTAACTATAGAAGTTCAAGACACATGCAAACTCATCTATTTATATCATATCTTGAGTACAGAAGTACAACCTCAACAAAATATTCTATGGTCCTTGTTGTATTTAGACAACAGTAACACACTAACATATAGGCCCACAAAAGGGGAAACGTCAGTAGAGGCACCAAAACTTGCATAGCAGATAAATTATATGTTTCACTTTTGGAAAAGGTCCTATTTGCCCACATCCATGCAAGACAAATTCATATGAAGATGACTAGATCCTAAATTGAAACCATCTCCAACTTTTAATCAAGGCCACATGCACTTATTGTTGTAAACCAATGACAAATTTAGTTAGAAATTCTTAGTCACTAGTAATTATCTTTCAATTTTAGAAAAGTTTTTTGAATATTTAATAAATATTTTGCAAGCTTATTTGATAAGGCAGATCTTTTTCTATTTTAAAAAAATTATTTATCTAGAATTAGTTCTTAGACAATAAAACGAACATTTTCGATAAAATAGTTGCTTTCTTTGAAAAGTTATTAAATGCTGAATGATTAATGAAAAACAATAGACTGATGAATGCTGGATGTGATACCCTAATTTGAGGTTGAAATCTGTCCGGTAAGAACCCAATGTGAGGGTGAAAACTCTTGATAAATCCAAAAATAAACCATGTCTACCACCTGTCTCCAACCCTAATTTTCATCCAATTCATACGCTACCATTTTGGTATTTCAGGGAAGAGATACACCACGAGAATTTAAATTTGTACTGTTGCTATTCTTATTTTTATTGTTTCTTTTACTTAACTTATTTTTATTTTTGGGTAATGAGGCAACTTTTTTAAATTTTTGGGTAACGAGGAACCTTTGCTAGGCACATGGCCTCCCTCAGGTTTGTACTGAGTTCGAACAACACCCCCAATCAAATAAACAGCAGAGCTCTGGGTACCGCCTCAATTCCTCCCAAGTCTCCAAGTTAGTCGATGACAGGCTGGGGGCAGGAAAAGTCCCTAAGTCTCAGGGTGCACCACAGTAGGGGTATCAATGCTACACTACACGCAGCTACTATAATACCAGTGGTTGCTACAGTACCCATGACTTGCATAATACTAGTGATTGCTGCAATAATTTTTGCATTTTTTGTATGTATTATTCCTGACCTCTTCTATTTATAATGTTCCGGTGAATCTTGTCATTGTAGTCATTTCTATAGCAAGTTGCATGGTAAATGATGCTACAATCCTACATGGGAACAAACAATCAGTTAGTTCATACAGATCAATAGAGCTGTATTGCATTTATAAGGCATCTTGGGATTGGTAGCTTGTCTATGAAATGAGCTAACAAGGAAAAAGAAGTTGTAAGGCCAACCTGTCTAATATAACCAATGTTTGAAAAAGCTTTTCTGAAACTCGCTTTGCAACTTTTGAAGGTTAAACGCTTCGAAACTTCAGAGAGAAGCTATATATCCCTTGAAGCTTACGCCTCATCACTCTGAAGTGTGTGCTTCGCGCTTCATAAAGCTCTTTTCTTTTGAAGCGCACACTTTAGACAAGATAGAAGGATATAAAATATTTTTTTTACTAACATTAAATGCCCCTATGTATTTCCAATATGACCATGTGAGTGTAAATAAAATATACATGTTATGCATGTTGCTTAGTTTATTATGATTCATTTTCATATTTCACATATTTAATGCTTATTTACTAATCAAGACATGAATGTATATATTTGTAATTATTATACATTATACCACTATATTATATGCACATAATTTTTACAAATTTTAAATTAAATTACTTAAACTCACGAAGCTTACGCCTCACGCTTTGAAGATTACACGTCTCTTTATCAAAGGGTCTAGCGCTTCGCCTTGTGCTTCCACTTTTTTAAACATTGAATAGAACTAGCAGGATCCTTCTAATATACGATAAATGACCTACATACTAAGCTTAACAGCAAGAAATTAATTATTTTGCTAAACAAAAACATCTACACATAACACTATAAATGTTGTGACATGCAGAAAAAAATTTAGAAAGTGAACAGCATTCAAATGCTAAACAGGTTTTTAAATGTGACTTCAGGTATTAGTTATTAAGTGTGTCATGATCATTCTACTCTACAGAATTGCATACCTTAACTCCCGCACATATTATTCCACTGCAACTTGTTTAAGAAATTATATATCCTTACGAACTATTGTATAGTTCAAGTCTTTATTAAGAGTATGTTCATTACAAGCTTTGGCTTTTGTTTTCTTCTACAAGCTTTGGCTATTGTTTTCTTCTCAATGAACATATTCATAATAGGTAAAAGTGAGGGTAAGGAGATGAAAAGCTTTGGCTATTGTTTTCTTCTCAATGAACATATTCATAATAAGAAAAAGTGAAGGGTAAGGAGATGAAAAGATAGCAAATCTGCAACGATTGAAGGAAACGTTAACCACTTTAACTAGTTTCATAGTATTGAATATTCCAAACTGACTTTCACATTCACTATCCAGTTCCAAGGTGGTTGAAAAATAGCTCTGCAAAAACCTATTTGGAGTAAAAAAACTGATTGAAATAAAGCACACGAACGAACAAATGTAGAAACTTCTTCAAGTTGTAACCTTTCTCCATAAAAGCATGGAAATATACAAACTAATAGTCAGCAAGGGATTCCACAAAGTGGCAAGGCAATGGAAGATCCCAGTGAATTTAAGCAGTGCCTGAAACTGCATGTGGGCTTATGATTAAATAGTGGTTCCAATCTTCAATATCTTTTAGATATCTCAAACATCATATGCAGCAAAATATAATTATGCTTATCCAAATATAGAAAAAAGTTAAGTAATGCATACCATATAATGCCATCCATGCTTCTCAGCAAATGCTTTTGCAGCTTCCTCGCTATCAAAAGCAAGCCCAGCATCGCCAACATTGGCATATGGATCGCCGGTAGAGGTCCAGCCCATCAATGGATTCTCCCATCTACACGCACAAAAAATACAAGCATTAACATATGTTACACTCATAAATGCATCAATATACCTGTCAACCATATGTACTTTTTTTTTTGCATGCAGATGTGTATGTAGAAAGGAATGGAGGCCACTAAAGTGTACAACAACAGATATTGAAGGACAATGATGATGCAGAACCCTAAAAGTAAGATTCTAACTAGTAGTTTCTTATGGTCTACGTCAGTCAAATACCAAAGTATTAATTTTCAATCATTACTGTTGTCATTCCCCAACTACTATTGCCCAACTACAGCTTATATTAATCTTTGGTATTTTGCCAAAATGGGGCTATGTTATTGATATTGTTTCCAATGATGTAGGCTTACTCAGAGGATGATTCACTCATGTCCGGTGTGAGTTATACTTGTTAATTAGTATTCCAACTTTCATTTCCCCATGTGAGCGAGCCTATGTTTGTCAAGTACTATGATTTGTTTGATCTTTTAGGCTGACTAAGGTTTAACTAAATTGGGGGTCTGAATCTAAAAGACAAAAGAAATGCCCACATTCTAGAGCTGCACACAATCTCTATAAATCTTCATGCAAAAAAGCCACTTTAGACACAGCTGACACAAGATAAATTCTGGACAATTTCCAAAGATATACATTACCATGAAAACAACAACTACCACGAACCAGTAAATATATGAAACTTACTACCACGAACCAGTAAATAATTGAAACTTTCCCTCTGTTCTTATTTATGCATGCATTCATCAAAAAGAACAGAGAGAGTCTTTTATAGAATCTCGGCCTAGGCCAACAAAACAGCAAGTGAAACCTTCCTACAAAACAACAACAACAAAGCCTTTATCCCATAATTTTTGGATCAGCTAAATGAATCCTTATCTTTCATTGTGTTCTACTATGGGTCATCTCTTTCGTTAACTACTATCACATCCCTCTTATTTGTTTCCAGCTAAGTGCTCTTAGGTTTACCTCGAGTCCTTTTTGCCTCCATTAACTCATCGACGAATTTAAGACATCCGTTTTACATTACCAAAATTAGGTGGAAAACATTCTTATATTCTGAACAATGAACTTAAGTAGCAGCTCATCGTCCAATCCTCTGATTCCACCAGGTTGTCATTTAGATAATGTATTTCATGAACATGGAGGGCCACCAACTATGTACTATGGAGGTAATAGTTCTTCATATTGTTAATATGCATTCTACTGTATAAAGCTAAATTTTATTGAAATTAAACATTAAATCTACTTCAACTGAAATAGTTTTTTATGAACCAAAAATGTGGTCATCCAATCCTTAACTAAACCAAACCAGTGATCCACATGGTCACCAATCAGTGTCCATCATATAGGAAGTGCTTTACCACTATATGATGCACTGTTACCAGTGACATGACATTATGTTTTACGTAATTATCTTACATAATTCATAAGCAAAAATTGAACTTTACAAATTTTTTTACTGCATTGTTCATTAAAAACAGATTCACAAAAATAAATAAGAAAAATCATGGATCCTCTAATAAACACCAGATGTTAATTTGAGTTACATTGACCACTACAAGGTTCATAACTAATGGAAACTTAGTTCTATATAACTAAAGATTTTGGAACTAGCACAACCTAGAAACTCAAATAAAACAGGAATACTCGTCATATATTAACTCTTGAAATTAAATGTCTACCCCAAATAATCTTTCTTATGATGATAAAATAAGACAAAACTGCACTATTACTTCACTGGAAAAAGAGATGTTTGCACCTCAACCGCCCATTTACTTGATTAGAAAACTTCCCAATGTTTTAATAAGGGGGTTCATTATCTCCAGAAAATGGAAGACGGTGACTCTAATGGTTCATGGCTAAAAAGGTAAAATGTTCTAAATGAAACAAAGTATGAATGTGTTAAAAATAGAGGTACTAACAGAAATGAACACCGGCTTACTATCCATTTCCCATAACTTTCGGGTAAGGCTGCAAAGTTTACACCCATTTGTATAAAAATATACGGTACAAGTTAGAAAATTTATATTTGTTTATCTAAAATAGTAGGTAGGGTATATTATTTTTTTCTTTATTCTTGTTTCAATGCTCATTTATGGTTATATTTTATATTTAAAAGTAATTTTACGATATTTTCAAACTGAGTTGTAAGCAAGTAAGCAACTCTATACTGTAAAAAAAAAACATTTGACATTTGTCCATTATGGTAGAGTAATTTGCATTCTTAAACTTGCCAAAGGATATATATTTAGGGTAACTGCAAGGGCAAGACTCCTAACCTTGTAAAGGATAGGTATCTAGGGTAAGGGTAAGACTCCTTACCTATGATTCTCTATCCACTGTCATGCCTTAACAGATTTCTGCACTTCATAATTTCAAGTTGAATTCAAACTGTTAAGAACAATGAAGAAAGGATGAACAAGAGAAACATCTAAAACAGCAAGAACCTTTAAACAGGCTAAATGTCAATGATATCCACCCTTGAGTTAATATACTATACTTGATGAATCTTAAAACATCGAAAATCAATAGTCTGTAGAATTGGAGATAAAAATTATCTCCAAACTGCATTATTTGGTATACTTTTGGGTAGACAGAAAATTGATTTTCCATTTTCCAACATTGCCAGATCCCTGCTGAGAAGCAGTCCGAGCTGGAGAATAGATAATGACCTGCAAAAAGAATACAATAATGAGGTTAGTGGTGCAAAAAGAATACACAAAAAGAACAAGGAGACATGAAGGGTGAGAAACAAAAATATTAAGGAAACTGGAATAAGTTGATTTCTGATGACTAAAAAAGCAACTGTCAGAGAAGTCATATAATGACTAAGAAAAGGATGCAGTTTTATGAAACAACATTCACCCAATAATAGAAAAATGCATAAGCAATTGAGGGAAGCTCTCATAGACATAGTAATAGAAAGTCGATGAATCGTTCTTACAGCATGACACTATCCAATAAAATACTTATTAATTTTCAAATTAAAAAATTAATGAAAGAAAACTATGCAGACTTTTTTAGCTTTAATGTTAACTAGATCTTTCCAAGTGCTTGGCAATGTTGAAAGATATATAAAATGCCGTTTAGGAATTCTCCTCGTGACATGTGCCCACCATAAACAAATGGGCAAGTCCCTTAGATTTATTAAATCAACTATTGGCATATGGTAAAAGAAACATCGCATTGCTTCGAATGCTATTGAACTAGAAGAATAAACTATGCTCATTTATGCACTCTCTCCCTATAAGAGAAAATGTTTGTAAATACTTCTTTGCAGTGTGATATCTTGGACTATTTTACTTCTATGCATAACAAAGATTGGATGAACCTTCACCAAAGTATGAGTGAGAAGTTTTAACTTCTTTTCCTCTTTAATTATAGTGATGCATATTGGAAATTTAGGTGACACCCTAAACAGGGCATGATGTGTTGATAAGTGGCACAATAAAACTTAACTTGCATCTAATTAGTTAATAACTTAAATTCATAAATGATCAAAAGATTACTGTATATGCATGTAGGACCATAAGAATAATGGGTAAGTCTCAATAATGCATTGAATTATTGAATACAAACAAAATTAGGCCCATTATGCTAGCGAAAAGAGAGGACAGTTCCACAACTAGAAATACATATGTTCGAAAACTGTGTTACATAACATCTGCCTTATGCCAGATCCCAACAACAACAACGAGCCTTCACCCTAAATTCTGGCATCAACCTTTTCCTCTTTGACTACAGTGATGCATATTGGAAATTCAGTTGACACCTTAAACAGGTTACCAATTTGTTGATGAGAGGCAGAACAAGTCATAGCTTGTTTGTAATTAAGTCAAACTCATAAATGATTATGAATTAAGTCAAACATCTTCCCTGCTAAAGTATTGGAACAATAGGAGAAGTTTCAGTAATTAGTTAAATAGAAGCACAACTAGGTCCAATATGCTAGAGAAAGAAAAGATGGTTCCACAACGAGAAATACACATGTCCGAGAACAGCGGTTACATAACAAGATTCGCCTTCTGCCATATTCCAACAGCAACAAAACAAAACCTCATCCGCGATTTTTGGAGTCATCTACATGAATCTTATTTTTTCCATTCAGATCTACTACTCTGTTAAATTAACTGGTATTATATCCATTCAGCTCTGTTCCGCCACATTCCAGCTTTTGTGGGAAAAAAAGTTCAAAAAGAATAATGAAGAATCTCCACTTTGAAATCAAATTCCAATTGTTGCACACAATCAGAAAACCACTCTGATGCTCATTGTGAATTGACACATTCACAAGCCAACTTATGATGGTTTGACTTTACGACATTCCTCGAGGCAGCCCCTACTAATTAGTCATCTGCCTGACTGCCTCATCATGTGTCTCTAATTAACCATTTATCTCTCATGTGACACAAGTGATTGGCCACTTGCATACTCTTCACGGATTTGATGATTTAGTTTTTTTCCTATTTTGGCTTAAAGAGAATGGTCAGTAGACACAGGTGCATGGTGAGCCCAAAAGGTGGGTTTAGAATTTGGAGCATGATAGGGCGGGAAGGTGAAGGACAAATAAGAAAGAGAAATGATGGGGGCAAGAGCAGGAGGATTTAGTAGGAAAACGGAGATGTGGTCAAGGTTGGTAAATGAGATTCAAAACACAGATACAAGACTTCAAAGAACATGGAGGAGGACAAAGGGGAAGAAAGGAGACGGGGTAGCTAAACGTTATGATTCACATTCTCAATAACATTGTATGGGTGTAATCTTAAGAAACAATGGGAATTAGCACAGAGTTTTCTGATGCTTTTTAGTTGAGTATTACATTGTTGAGTGTTGAAGAAGCTCTTTAAAATCCAACCTAACAAAGACTGCTACAGATATTAGTGACAAACTAAATCAAACTTGTAAGTTACAAATCAATCATTTTTAAGTGGATCAGACTGATCTATGTCACCCCAGGAAATTAACTAGTAATCCTCTAGATGTTCACATTTGGACCTTAATAAACATTTAAACTTCTAGATTTTTAAACTTATATTGGAACTATGATTCCAATGATGCACAACAGTATTAAGTGTAATATTCATGTAAGTTTTGAACCCTATTTTATTGTCTCCTCCAAAGATATATGTCTATCTTTATATGCATAATTAAGTTAGCTCTTCATTGGTTTTGAATAGACCAATAACAGCATCAAGAAACTATCTCCACCGTGTGCAGTTTCTAACTTCCAAAAGGAATTGTGTCATGCAGCAGTAGTAATCTGAATATTCATGCTTAAGAAACTCTTACTCTAGTATCCAAATAAAAATTTGAGAAGTTTTCATTCCAAATGTCTTCCCTAAAAATCCTACTCATCAATTAACACATAGAACTTGGCATATCTCATTTAATGCCCCAAAAGAATCATGTTCAAAATAATCTAACCGACATTCCCGTACATGCTTTCACTAATAAATTGAAGATTTGGAACTAAGAAAAGAAAGCAAATATCCATAAGAACATGGCACCTATCTAGTAGATTAGCGAGGGACTTTGGGCAGAGATGGCACTTTTATATCAAGAACACTAGAACTTCTACATCATATCATTTAGAGTGAAACCAAGATTGGCTCTACTAGAAGCATCAAACCATTTCTATGTTTTGAGTATATCCAAAAGGAAGAATTATTATGGGCAATTGGGAATTAACAAAGAAATGGCCGAAAATCAAGGCAACTCTGCAAATATTCACCATCATACGTTTCTGCATCGATGTGAGATGAAGTCTAGATCACATATCTTAGCTAAGGGTCTCTAAAGATAGATTGGGAAAACCTTCTGCAATAAAGCAAAGATAACAAGCTGAAATTTACCCAACAAGGCTAGCAAGCTAAACTTTGATGCAACAAAGAAAAAAGAAAGGTAAATACTAGGTTTAGCTTGGCCCCTTATTGTCCGTAAGAATAAAAAACAGAGCAATAATCTTTTGACTTTTTGGAGGATGATTCGCAAATAAATAGACATTATCGAAGAGAATACGACAGCAAAGGAAGGAGATTAGGAGACTATATGGATGAGTTATTATGAAGCAAGAGGTTAGGTAGAAAGTAGAAACCCTTGGGATGTAATAAATATATTACTTGGAATATAATAAATATATTACTTGGAATATAATAAATATATTACATGGAACCTTGATCAATATGCAAAAAGTCTGCAATCCTAAACTAGCAAAGGGTGACTACCATATGCAGTCCAAGAATAATAAGGACCACAAAAGAAGATAGACAAATATATCCAAGGGTAAATTGCAGATAATTCCCAATTATACCTTCAGTAGCACTTACCACCACTCAACTATTTTGTTAGCCCTTAGCACTTCTAAAATAATGATCGGGAGGGGGTTCTCTGCAATTAATTCTTTTAAATTACCGATATAGTGATGTTAAATGCTAATAAAATAATTGAGTGGTGATAAGTGTTCTTGAAGGTATAAGATGGGGGAGGGGCTTATCTGCAAATTACCATATATCATAATAGCAGCGTATTTGAGACCATACAGGACAACACAAACAAGCACACAAACAAATTAAGTGGGTACCAAATCTTTTGCAAAGAATCTCCAACAACGGAATAAAAGGCTATCCTATGTTGAATTTGCATATTTATGTCCACTTGAGCACCCAACTATTATGGTGTTATTGTCAAATAGCAATTATTATGGTGTTATTGTCAAATAGTTGGCATGAGTTTAAACCTAAATAGACAAGACAGCAATAAAATATGAAGGTCTATTTCACGAAAAAAATGGCCCCTGATAGAATATTTAGACTTTAAAGCGCAACAGCTCCTTAAGTAGTGCATATATTTCCATAATGAGAGTTGTGCATTAAAACCATCAGATTAAACTCACAAGACCAAGGATTAGTCTTCAGTAATCTGCTAAACTCAAATTCCTGATGTTTTCCCATAAAAATAAGCATCTGTAACAGATACGTAATCTGAAAACTGAAACGCCACAAAAATTTCTCTTCTTAGCAAAATTTCACAATTCCGGATGAACTAAGATCCAAAACAAAAGAAAGACAAATTGTTAAAAATAAATAACCTGTAAGGGGATTAGGTTACCTTTCGCTTGAGGTGCTCCTCAGGGATTCCAGAAACGATGCCTATTTCCCCGGGCTTGATCTCGACGAGAGCGTCAGAGGAAAGCGACCTCGTTTGATGAGCGATTTGAGCTGAGCGAGAAGCGAGGAGGCGAGAAAAGGAGGTGCTTCGAGCTCGGAGGGAGGAGGCGGCCATCGATGCCCTCGCTAGCAGATTAAGCGCCTGATCTCAGTTTATTAGCAGATTAAGCGCCTGATCTTAGTTCTATGTTTCCGGAGGAGGGCAAGCAAGGGACAAATTTTCAAAACCATTTCATTTTGAAATTTATTTATAAAAAACGACTCATTTTAGCCTTAATTGCAAAAACCGACCCAGTTTGTTAAAACTGGGTCGGTTTATGAAAAAAAAAATTCCAAACTTCACGGGAGTTCAACTCCCGTGAAGTTTTTTCTCATAACAAAACTTCACGGGAGTTCAACTCCCGTGAAGTTTGAAAAAAAATTTTCAAAAACCGACCCAGTTTCAACCAACTGGGTCGGTTTTTGCAATTAAGGCTAAAATGGGTCGTTTTTTATAAATAAATTTTAAAATGGGATGGTTTTGAAAATTTGTCCGGCAAGCAAGTCACGAGGGAAATGGGGGACTAATTTTCAAAACCAACATTTTTCTGTTTTTATTTGCAAAAACAGACCGCTTTTGAAAATAATTACAAAAACCGACCTATTTTCAGCCCAGCGCTGAAAATAGGTCGGTTTTTGTAAAAAGTTTTCCGAAACATCACGGGAGTTCAACTCCCGTGAAGTTTATTGAGAAATTAAACTTCACGGGAGTTGAACTCCCGTGAAGTTTAATTTATATATAAATCTTCACGGGAGTTCAACTCCCGTGAAGATTTGGCCAAGATCCAATGCCAGAACTGCTCTCTGGAAGTTGGCACTGCAACTTCACGGGAGTTGAACTCCCGTGAAGTTGCAGTCCAAAATTCCCAGAGAAGCGCCCGACCGCCGCCGCCCCAGCGTCCGACCGCCGCCGCCGCCCCCTTTCCGTTCGCCGGCGTCGTCAGATCGACGTCAGATCTCAGTCTCAGAGGAAAAAACAGGTAAATTCTTCCTAAAAAAATTTATACTCTCTAATTTTTGTATACTCTCACTATTTGATTGTGATTTCATATAAAAATCTAGATTTTAGAATTTAATTATGAATTATTTATGAATTTTGTGAAGAAATGTGAAAATTAGAGGGGAAATTATCAATAAATGTGAAAATTAGAGGGGAAATTATCAATAATTTTGTAAAATTTGTGAAGAATTAGTGTGGAAATTATCAATAATTTTGTGGAATTAGTGTGGAAATTTCGCAATTATTTACGAATTTTGTGAGGAAATGTGAAAATTAGAGGGGAAATTATCAATAAATGTGAAAATTAGAGGGGAAATTATCAATAATTTTGTGAAATTTGTGAAGAATTAGTGTGGAAATTATCAATAATTTTTGTGGAATTAGTGGGGAAATTATCAATAATTTTTTGAAATTAGAGGGGAAATTATCAATAATTTTGTGGATTATTTACGAATTTTGTGAAGAAAAATCAAATAATTTTGTGCATTTAGAGTTGAAATTATGAATTAATGTGGAAATTAGAGTTACTACCTAAATGTAAAAATTAGTAACAATCAATATTTATTTTGCTTTTCGTGTAATATTGATCTTGAACTTTTCACTCTTCAGAGTTAACGATGAACGATCGAATCGTAATTCTCTGTTCTTATGATGGGAAGATCAATTACCTCGAAAATAATATGCCTGTTTATGAAGGAGGCGCGACGAGACCGTTGTTCATAACAAAATCGTGTACTTTCGATGAGTTGGTTAATGAATTACACAAACTTACATTAACTAACTCACGTGAGTATCACCTCAGTGTGGTTTGAAATTATCCTATTGTGGGGAACAAAACAAGTGGCATTCAAATATCAAGTGACTGCGATATGGGTCTCATTCATGTCTTACACGACGAGAAGCGTTCGGTCGAATTGTTCATTGAAAAACATCAGAGGGATTTGGGCAAATCGTTGAACTCCCAAGGAATGTATTCCCGCATGTTGGAGGATCCTGAAGTTGATTCCGTAGGCTTTTTATCTCCTCAGCAAGATGAATGTTGGACACAATCACAATACATGAGCGGTCCTTCGTTCGTGGGCACTTCGAATGCTTTCGATACTAACACGGGAATTCAAGAAGATAATGAAAGTGTCGAATCTGAGAATGATGATGAAGAGGAGGGATTACAAATTAATAGCATGACCTTGATAGATCGTGATGACGGGGAAAACCAACACATCGACGGATGTTATGTTAATAATGAGTATGTCGTCTTAGAGGATCCGCCGCCCGATGAACTTCAAGGAGATGAATGGATTGATAACTCCGCGATGGAAAGTGTTCCTATTGGCACTAATAGCGGTGTTGATACACAGGCCGAGGACTTCTCATTCATGATGGGAGATCTTTACGATAGTAAGGGGAAATTAATCCATGCTATTCGCACGTATTCCATTGCAAAAAATGTGAAGTTCAGGCCAACCAAAAATAATACTACAAGCTATAATGTGGTTTGTTTCTATCGCAAAGATGACGATGTCGAAGATAATAGTGGACACCACGACGGCAATGCGAGGTGTCCGTGGAAGCTTAATTCACGCTCGGGTGCAAGAGTATGTGGGCAATTCAAAATCACGGCATACAATGGACTCCACACTTGTAGCAATCCTCGATTAGAGATGAATAACAAGAATGCGTCCTCTTCTTTTATATGTCGATTGATTTTACCGTATCTGAGGGAGGATCTTGATCTAAGACCGAAAGATATCCGTCTTTTAGTGCATAAAGCCACCAACTTGGATGTATCATATCACAAGTGTTGGAATGCTAGGAGGAAGGCGATGATAAAAATATTCGGGGATTGGGATAATTCGTATGAGATCTTACCTCATTATCTTGAAGCACTCAAAAGAGAAAATCCGGGGACTGTCTACGAAGTATCTTCGGACCCCGTTGATGGCGGAGAACGGCGGTTCACCGGTGTATTTTGGGCATTTGGGCCCTGTATTGAGGGGTTTCGATATTGTCGTCCCCTTCTTAGCATTGATGGAACTCACTTATATGGTAAATACAAAGGCGTTTTGCTTGTTGCAACCGGAGTTGACGCGGATGGCGGGTTGTTTCCTTTAGCATTCGCAGTGGTTGATGTTGAAAACACAGAGAATTGGGCTTGGTTTTTTACATGCATTAGATATCATATCCCTAGTGTGGAGACGCGGCCGATTATATTCATATCCGATAGGATGAAAGGAATTCCAAGAGCACTCCTCTGACATTTCCCGCCACCACATGCACATCGCTATTGCTTGCGACATATTAGAGACAACTTCAAGAAGAAGTATGGAAACGCTCAGGTTCAAGACTTACTTTGGCAAGCTGGTTGTGCAACAGAAAAATATGTTTATGAACAAATACGAGAGAGGATTAAGTTCATTTCACGAGCTGCACATGATTGGATCGAAACTAGTTTGGGTCCAAACAATGTTGATAAGTGGGCTTTATGTGAGGATGGCGGCAAACGGTTTTGTATGATGACTACGAACGCGTCTGAGAGCTTCAATGGCGTGCTCAGGGGAGCACGTGGCATGCCAATACAGGCACTAGTTGCTAAAACTTTTTACAGGCTTAATAAATTCTTTCTTCGACGTCGAGAACTTGGTGAAAATATGCGCTCAGAGCTAACACCGAAGGTTGATGAAATGCTAGCGGCTCGGATTGTACAAGCTCGGTCATTTCAGGTTGTACGATACAGTTTTAATGAATGGGAGGTGCTCGAGGGAATAACCCATAGAGAAAATCGCTCTTACAAAGTCAATATGTTGGTGGATCACACTTGTACGTGCACTTGCAATGTACATCAATCTAATACGCTAAGCGTCAAGCAAATATAAAGCGAAGGCACAGGTCCCCGATCACAGTAGCGAGAATATAATAACAACTCAGAACAAAATGATACATATCACAACTGAAATATCATCCCAGACATAATATTCGGGCCAAACATGCCCTTATACAAAATGATCTGAATGAAATACTGAAGAAATATAAAATACATCGATCAGGCGAAAATAGAAAGTACTAAAAGTAAACTAAGACCATCGAACAACTAAAGAGAATAACTAAGCTTCGGCTTCTTCTGCTCGGTCTGCGAAGCACTCCTGCGGAGGATCCTCTGGCTCATGTACTACTCCGAAATGTAGTTGTCTGTCCTCTAAATCTGACATACACCAGAGAAAATAGGTGTACGTCAGGGTGCATGGCACACGGCAAGATCCCACAAGGAAAGTAGAAACGGTCGTACGACCAATGCAAGAGCAATAATAATAACAATAGTAATAATCTAAATAAAATCCACCACCAGAATATAATAATCAGAAGAATCCAAAATCGATCGGGTAACTAGGTCATGCAGTTAGCGATAAACTAATCATCCAAGTAACGAGGTCATACTACTAGTCATTGTATAACAGGTCACTGATCACATCTCACACAGAGTCAACGCTCCTGTCATCGGATAACTGACTGTTCACAAAACCTCTATGTGCATCCAATCCCGCTACACATGCGGCCTAGAGGACTGCACGCAATTCGTTTCTTCCTGGTCCGAACTTCAAACAGAACTCGGATGACGAAATAAATTTCCCACTGACCAAAGTGATGTACACACTTCACTTTAGCCCTACAAACCAACCCCGTTGGCGACACCAACCACGGGAGAGAGCCTGGAAGATACATCAACAGTCTTATCCGATCACATGAACATTAACTTCCCCATCTCAACTCTCTTGTTTTTCTAAGCTAACATATACACAGGTTTAACAGGACACACCATGCCACACTAGTCATGAATTTCTAACAGTTCTCATGCATAACAAAGAGTAATAAATACACCTAATCATATACAACAATATCATAGCATATCACAAACTTAAAATTAAGAAACATAAATCATGAAAAATTTCATAATAATCCCTTTTCTAAAATAAATCTTTTAAAAAATATTTATAAATGTCCTAAAATAATTCCTTTTATAAAACTTTCTTAAATTATTGAAATTATTCTAAATTGATACTTATTCTAAAATAAAATTTTTTAAATTATTTATAATTATTCTAAAATAATTCTTTTGTCAAATAAATTCTATTAATTTATTATAATTACTCTAAAATGATTTTTCACCAAAAATTTTATTATAATTATTTTAAATTGATTATTTTGTCAACAAATTCTTCAAAATTATAAATTATTCTAAAATAATTTTATTTTATTTTATCTTTACAGTATCTATTATCAAAATATTATTTTTAGTACTTTTCAATATCATTCGTCAAGTAAATCCGTGCAGGTCATCACAGTATATGTATTACAATATGAATGGTCATATGTTATTGTCCACTGTCCATTTCGTTCACGACAGTTCTATACGTTATAGTTCTCAGTCCAATATGTTCACGACAGTTCTATATTTGTAACGAATAATTATTCGAGACACGAGTTCGTATCCATAATTAACCTGTAATCATTCTAAAATTGTACTGAGGAAGAATAGGGATCTTGCAAGCAACTAATTAATTCAGAGCGGATCCAAGAATTGAATGATAAGTCAAAAGAGTATAGGGATCTTGCCTCGGGGTTCGTCAAACGAATCGACGTCGACGGGTCCGCGGGTCGAATCGAACGTGGTGGAGCGTGACGTCGGCTATGCACTGCAGGAGGAAGGCGATAGCTGTTGGCCTTCTTGTTTTGATGATGTTTAACAAACAATTTATCACTAATGTTGTTTGTCTAGTATTTGTGTTTTATTATTTATTATAGACAAACAACGTTGTTGCAGGTTGGATGGATTGCGCTTCAACGATGATATCCAAAGGAGGTTGGAGGAATGTCGGGTTGAAGCCTATACAATTCAAGTTAAAAGATCAAGTTCAAGCTTCATCCGCACGTGTACCAAGTTGAGCTCAATGAAGATCAAGATCAAGCTTGGGTAATTTAGTTTAGGATTTATATTATGTGTGTTAGATACTCTAAGCTCAATATAATATACACACACGTATTTGGTTTCTATGTATATATATAGTTATATATATACATGCATGGTTTTAGGTTTTCATGTTTTGGACATACTTGCAAAATACATGAGTTTTCACAAATAGAAATTCAATTTGAGAAATTCTTTTTCTAACATGTTTGTTTTCATGCTTATAAACATTTCACAAAGTTTCATCAAGTTTGGAATTGATTTGTTATGTTTAATGGAATTTACAAAATCATGTTTTTCGTTCGTGCATGTTCGTGCATGTTTTAAAAAACAGATGAGTTTTTATAAATCGGAAGTGATATTCAAGAAATTCTTTCTTTGACATGTTTATATACATGTTTAGAATATTTTTAGAGTTGATTTACTATGCCCAATTGATTTTACAAAATCGTATATGTTAACAGTTTTTCAGAAACTATAAATTTGTGTTCAAATATTTATTTATCTCAACTGGGAAAATATTTTTCAGAAATTCTTTCTCTGACATGTTATTCTACATGTCTAGAACATTCCCACAAAACTTCATAATTTTTGGAGTTCATTTACTATTTTAAATTGATTTTACAAAATATCTGCGCACTGCGACAGTAACTCCGGTCGACCGGACCGGTCGACCGGAAATGTCTCTGGACGTTTCTCAGCTTTGCATATGCCTCTCGGTCGACCGTACCGGTCGACCGAAGTACTGTAGCAGCCGACCGTTGCTACAGTAACGGCTAGTTCTGTTTTTTGTTTATTTTAATGTTTTGGGGGTGTTTTTATTGGTTTTTGGGGTTGTTTCATGAGCCTATATATACCCCATGCCCTTATACTTCTAAGGGTACTCAAGAAATGTTTTAAACAAGTTTAAAGAGTTTTAAACAAGGGTTTAAGTGTGTTAGTGTTTGTTTTGGTTTATGAAGAAGTTTTCACAAGTGGAGGAGATCATCTTCTTGTTTGGGCTCCAATCTCCATCTCTCCATCTTGTCATCTATTGGAGAAGTTTTCTAAACTCTATCTAGCTTTACATTTGCTTAGTTATTTGATTATCATTCTTTAAAGCTAGCTTTTATATTGAGTTTAGATTTGATTTGATTTCACTCATTGTTTACACACACCCACTTGAGCTTATTGTATTTGCATACATAGTATATTAGGGTTGTGAGAGATTGTAACATTGAGTTTGTGCTTAATCTAGGACCAACACTTAGTGTGTGAGGTGTGATTGCATAGTGATTGTATTGTGAGGTGTAAACGTTGTTCGGGTGAACGTAGAAAACCCGGTTGTGATAGTGGAGATCTCCTCAAGGTGAGGAGCGGAGACGTAGGTCATGGGGACTGAACTCCGTAATCATATTGTTTGTTTGTGATTGAATTGGCGCACTTACTTTTATGTTTATATCTTATATCGCCTTTGTATATTGCTTGTTGATTATATTACCCACTATCTAGTTTAGATTGTTTACCCTTGAGCTTATATATCCTTGCACATACATTGCCTATATCTCTTTGTTAGGATATATCTTGTTGTTTATATTACTTATCCTAGCTCATATACATTGTTGTATTTCATACTTGCTAGGATAACTTATTAATTAATTTTAATTGGCATTAAATCGGATTAGATTAGCATAAGACCCTAATCACCCCCCCTCTAGGATCCAACAATTGGTATCAGAGCTTGGTGCTCTTTGATTTAAGGTCTAATCGCCTTGAGTTAAAGATCCAAGTTAGCTTATTGTGCCAATCTAATTTTGAGCTTTATTTGTATCTTGCTTGCCTTTTATATTATGGATATGCATGGTTTAGGTTATGTCATCAATATTGCTCCTAGATTAGATAATTTTCCCTATGCCCAATGGTGTGTTAGATTTAAACTTTTAGTTCAATCTAAACACTTTGAGTTATGGAAAATTATAGATGATGCTTATATTGTGCCCACTTTGGAGAAATCCAAATGGAATAAGAATGATCATCGTATGTTTACAATGAACAATATTTTGTTAGAATATTTGCTAAATGAGGGGGTCGGTGATGATGATGAAGAGAGGGAGAAGAGAGAGACTGAGATGGAGATGAAGAGAGAGAATGAGAGAGAGTGAGCTGATGGGAGAGGATGAGAGAGAAAAAGAAGAGAGAGGGTGAGCACGAGAAAAGAGAGAGGCAGTGGTTTAAATAAAAAATTTAATAATAAAAAATTTAGGATATGATTGATTAGAAAATGGTGAGCTGCTTAGTCTAAGTTTACGGTGCGCG